CACACACACACACACACACACACACACTAACACACATAAAAGAGAGACACACTTACAAACAAACACACACATACAGACCCCACCCCCACACACACACACAAGCATACACAGATCCACTCACACATACACACATAATATACACATACACACAAAACAACACATACACACACAGACCCACTCACACATAAACATACATACATACACACACAAATAAACACACACACATACATACACACACGCACACACACACTCACACACACACACACACACACACACACTCATACAAAACAGGCGAAATGTAATGATCATAGAAAGAGTGCCATAAATTCTACCTTTAATCCTGTCGATCTCATTTGAAAATGTGGCTTACCATAGCACACACATACACACACACACACACACACACACACACACACACACACACACACACACACAAACACACACACACACACACACACACACACACATATATATATATATATACACACATAAATACATTAATTAAACCATGCAATAATCATCGACATTACATAAGAACATAAAACTATGTGTTATGTGTGCTTGTGTGCGACATAATATGGTCGCTTTAAAGCATAAGGGTCTATCCCGAAAAATGCTGTTTTGAGAAAATCGGAGGTAAAGTGTTTGCCCCTTGTTTAGTTTCTTTAAAAGACAAGGAGAGTTTTCTCTATGACCAAACAAATATATATATATAATATATACTCACCTATGAAACCAAACGTCTCCGAAACGTAGGGCAATGCCCACTTTTGGTGGAGGTCAAGATTTCTGGAAACCCCCGAAATCTGGGTTGGCCCGCTTGTCCAAGCGACCATATTATGTCTATATGTTTATTGAGTAACGACATTTTGTAATTAAGCTCTCATCAAATTTTGAGCATTATATGGAGCGATAATTGGTACCATCTGAAAGCTTGTTCATTTGTCTTGCTTTTGATGGAAAAAAACCCATCCATTTGTCTAGAGTAAAAGTCAAGACATTTACAATTAAAGGAGTTGCTTATCTGTCATTGTGTGTGTGTGTGTGTGTGTGTGTGTGTGTGTGTGTGTGTGTGTGTGTGTGTGAGTGTGTATGTGTGTGAGACGGAGAAAGAGAGAGAAACACGTAGAGAGAGAGAGAGAGAGAAATAAAGAGAGAGAGTGAGAGAGAGCGAGAAAGCGAGAGAGCGAGAGAGAGAGAGAGAGAGAGAGAGAGAGAGAGAGAGAGAGAGAGAGAGAGCGAGAGAGAGTTGTTGTGGTGTTTGCGTGTAAATGTGTTCAGAATGCTGCTATGACGAGCCGATTTCTATGCACATTTTTATCACGTCATAACTATCAATTAGCGAGAAGCACAGGCACTAATGACGTCATGTTGAAATGGCCACCACTCTAGCCTCAACGGCACAAAGTTTGCTTCGAATATCAAGGCACCCCGGAAATAGCAGTTCAAAAGAGAGTGACAAATATACAATAGATGTAGAGGAAAAAAATGACGATAGTAAGGATGAGGAAAGAAAAAGCAGTAGTTCCCTATAATATTCTTGTCCAGGCATATATACTGGGGGCTCCAGTGGCTAAGTGAGTAGTGAGTTTTGACTCAAGCAATGTCAAGCAAGTGTCGGTGACACGGGGATCAGATGGGTGGTCACTGGAGTGTGTCCTTGAGCAAGACACGACAACCCTAGCTCAACAAACTACAGGGCGCTGCACAGTGGCGACCGACAGTGGCATTGTTTGTAAACTGTTCTGTATTGTATAATAGTGTGTATTTATGTATGTATTTATGCATGTATGTATTTATGTATGTACGTATTTATAATTATGTATTAATGTATGTATGTTTGCCATTGTAAAACAAAGTGCCCTTCTGGGACAAACAAAAGTGTAATTTATTATTTATTATTATTATTATTATTATTAGTATGAGCATGCCATTGATAGATCCCTCCATTTACAATTCTACTGTGTACAAGAACATGTTAATATCCCCCCCCCCCCTTTTGGAATGGCCTAAAGACTATTTCAGTCAGTAGCACCGCCCTGGTTGGGGGAAGTTTGTATCCGTATGAGAGTGCCTGAGTGTGAACGTTTTGTTGAGGTATTTTTGTGAGTACCGGTGTTCAAAATGCTGCTATGACGAGCTGATTTCTGTGCACATTTCCATCACGTCATAACGATCAATTAGCGAGAAGCACAGGAACTCATGACGTCACGTTGAATCGGCCATACGGGGCACGCCCACTTCTCTCTTCCAGCCTACCCGAGAACTGATGACGTAGAGCCCAACACCTCAGAGTCACCCGTCATAAACGATGCAGGACGTGGCGTCACAATGACCACGAACCCAAAGATGACGTAAGTTCGATTTATAGGTGTAGTAGGTTTAACCCTATCCGTATGCCCTGGGGTCATTTTGTACCCCCGAGGTTGTATTCTTCACATTTTAGAATACTTCTAGTACGAAGATTTCTTTGAAACTTTCAGTATTTCTTAAAAATCATTTTGACAGACTGCTTTGCAAAGCGTAAGGATCGGATTAACGAGTAAATTTCCTCTGTGGAAAGTGGTGGCACAGAGTTCCCCACGTCATATGGATACGATAGTAAGACACGACATATTAATATGGATAGGTTTATACTAATAATATGTAAAATGTGCTGACAAAATGAGTTATATCTCAGATTCAAGCCTTAAGGAAATAGATACATCACTAATACAGGTAAAATTGTAACAATTTATAAGTATGAAATAATAAAAGGCATGTTATAGTTTAAGAATATGGCACCAATAGAAAATCTACAAATTTGACCCTGATGTCTATTTTTGGCCAATATCTCCATTCGTGGATTGCGAGAAGTAACTCATTTTGTCAGCACGCCAAACAATATAGCTTTCGTATAGCGCAAAGTCACGCTCAACAGTACTCTCTATGCGCTTCACAATCTATACTAATACCCCTGCAGACCTGAGAGCATTCTGAAACAACCTCTAGTTCCTGAGAAGTATACATACAATGCAAGCGGCCATTTATTATTGGCGCTAAAACACAAACATACTGACAAGATATTTTGCTATCTCTATGACCGGGTACCCATTCCCACCTGGAAGAAGTGGGGAACATTCCTGTAAAGTGCCATTCCCAAGGACACAACGTCATGCCCGCGGCTCGAACTCCGGAACTCGCAACTCGCAACCTCACGATTACGAGTCCGGTAGCCTAACCACCAGGCCACCGTTGCCATAGTTTTTTTTTATTAAAAAAAATATAGCTGGAGGTTTTACAGCGCTCGCAACTGCCACAGGTTTACATAATATAATCGTACTATAATTATAAGGAACAGAATCACCAACGCAGTGGGGCAGCATGAAGATCTACTGACCACAGTGAAAAGACGAAATTTAAGATGGTATAGGCATGTCACAAGATCCACAGGACTTGCCAAAACAATCCTACAAGGAACCGTACAAGGAAAGAGAAAGAGAGGAAGGCAGAGAAGGAGACGGGAGGACAACATTACAGAGTGGACAGGAAAGACGATGGGGGACAATCTGAGGAAAGCAGAGGACAAAAATAGATGGCGAAAGAGAGCTGGTTGTCAGATGCAGTGGTGCCCCCCCCCCCCCCTCGGTTGGCCCAACCACGGGATAGAAGAGAGAAGAGAAGAGAGATAATTATCGTAACATGAGATTGTTTCGTCAAAGCACGGATCTAGCTGCTGAGCAGACATTTTAACTATAAAGTTATGCTAATTATTACAGTTATTGGTAGTAGTATTTTTATTTGTTTTTATAGTAGAGGGTTTTACGGCGCTCGCAACTGTATAAGGTCATATGAGCGCCAAGGGGTGGGTGTCAACAGAGAAGTCTTTACAGGTAATCAGACTTACTCTGCTCACCACTCTAGCTTCAAAAGCACAAAGTCTGCTTCGACCATCAAGGCACCTCAAAATAGCAGGTCACAAGAGAGTGACAAACATACAAAGAAATAGAGGAAAATGACAATAGTATGGATCAGGAAAGAAAAAGCAGCAGTTCCCTGTTGTAGATCAGGCACAGTTATGAGCTAGACATGAGTCAGTCCATTTACAATTCTTCTATGCTTGAACGAGAAATGTCCCCCCTTTGGGAATGGCCTGAAGACACTTCAGTCAGTGGCACTGCCCTGGGGGGTTTAGTAGGATCATCATCATCATCATCATCATCATCATCATCATCATCATCATCATCATCGTTAGAACTTCTATAATTGTTACGATAAAAATTATTACGATAATAATAATGATAATAATAAAAACTAAAAATAATTTTTAAACTGTTATTACTATTATTATCATCATTATTTTTATTATAGTGTTATGAATTGTTATTATAATTAATATTGTTATTATTATTATCATTATTTTTAAACAAATCATTACTACTTCTTCTTCTTCTTCTTCTTCTTCTTCTTCTTGTTCTTCTTCTTCTTCTTCTTCTTCTTCTTCTTCTTCTTCTTCTTCTTCTTCTTCTTCTTCTTCTTCTTCTTCTTCTTCTTCTTCTTCTTCTTCTTCTTCTTCTTCTTCTTCTTCTTCTTCTTCTTCTTCTTCTTCTTCTTCTTCTTCTTCTTCATCTGCTTCTGCTTCGGCTTCTGCTGCTGCTGCTGCTGCTGCTGCTCCTCCTCCTCCTCCTTCTTCTTCTTCTTCTTCTTCTTCTCCTCCTCCTCCTCCTCCTCCTCCTCCTCCTCCTCCTCCTCCTCCTCCTCCTCCTCCTCCTCCTCCTCCTTCTTCTTCTTCTTCTTTATTAATGTCTATCCTCAGCATTAGTTTTAAATCATTGATATATAATTGCTATTATTATAACTAATTATCGTTAATTCTATTTAATTAGTAATTGTCTCTATCTTTGGTCACCATTAGTTCGCTTTTCATTTCAAATATCTAATGTGTTATTATCAATTTTATCCTGATGTCTCTAAAATTATCCTAATTTCTCTCACAGAAACCTTAGCCCGGAGGATATTTTTGCAGACGTCGACGGTTGTGACCCACGCAGCAACGGCAGGTGTAGGAGGGATAATGACAACGACAAAAACAACGACAATAGCCGCGACAACAGCAACGACAATTACAGTAAGAGCTGGTTTTTCTAGGTTTTATAAGGTGGAGCGCTCTTCTCCGGCGCGTTCGAGTCTCTGTTCAGACTTGTTTCAGTTTTAGTAGAAGTTTTACGGCGCTCGCAACTGCATAAGGTCAAATGAGCTCCCGAAGATTAGAGGTGTTACAAGAGAGTATCGAACATAAAAAAAGAAGAAGGGGAGATAAGGACGATAGATGTTTGATAGGAAAGAAGGAGCAAACGACACCAGAGCACCCGCCAACCAACCACCTACGTTCAGACTTGGATTTGTTTTCGCCCACATCCCACAGCAGTAGTGCTGGGCGGCTAGGTTTCCGATTATTGAAATCTTGGAATCGTAGGAATCGACTCCGAACCCAATTACTTACTTTCTAACGATGTGATTTCTTCTGGTGGTTACCGGGTTGGCTCTGAACATCTTCAGGCTTTAGGATAACCTTGATTTCGGAACACCACCAAGCATCAACTTTTAGTTTTCAATAATAAATTCTCCTCCCCCCCCCCAAAAAAAAAGAAGACTTTAATGATTAAGTCACTGGTAACCGTTGGCTTAAGCAATGATAGTACATAACAAGATGGGCCACTTCTCTCTTTGAGCCATTTAAAAAAGTGTCCTCAAAATTTGGTGGCGCCCTCTTCACAAAAGCGCACTTTTGCGAACAGAGTTACCCTACTTGAGTTTTAAAAAATCAAAGTGAAACTAGCAAGTTTTGGGATAAATTACGGAAGAACACTTTTTTAAAATGGTTACGCTGACAAAAAACCTCTTCCGGAGGAAAGGGTGATGGTTTTCTTCGTTTAATTTGACTTTAGAATGAAAGGCGAGAGGTCATTAAAATTAAAAAAAAACAACTAAAACTCCGCACTGAACGTACCCGAACTGCTGATGAACACCAGTCGATCTGCGCACGCAAGGAGGTGCTATTCCTATTCTTCTTCTGGAAAAACGAAAGAGAGCTTCAAAACAGACTGCAGCGCCATCTGAAGCTAAGAGCATACTTCCTGCGGACACTTTTTTGGCTGAGTGGCCCATCTTGTTATGTACTATCTTTGGCTTAAGTAAAAAGGAGTCGGACCTTTTCATTCGCGTAGCAATAACAGTGGGTATCGGTTCCGGAATTGATTCTTCGCCCAGCTCTGCCTAGCAGTAATGGGTACCTGACTTCGAGTTGTGCAAGTACATGTACAGGGCGGTTTTTTCGTCACTTGCAGGCCAGGCTCACATGCAAATGAGCTTCTTTTCTTCAGTCACAGGGCCGCTAGGCCTAACTTCCTTTGCCTGACTAGTCTAAGCTACGCACACGGTTTTCCTGCATGCACGCTTTTTCGTCAACCGTACAGGTGAGACTAAATAAGCCCCGGTTCGACTTATTTTGGAAGGAAATTTTCATTGCACTTTACATTTTCGGCTTGGCGCTCATATGACCGTATGCAATTGCGAGTGCCGTAAAACCCTCTACTAGATCTATAAAAAAAAAAAACCCACACACATTATCAATAAAGTTGTATCTCATTATAATATGTTGTACTATAGTAGATCTAGATTTGTGCTGAAAACAGCAAAAATAAATAAATAAATAAATAAATAAATAAATGGAATTAAAGCACTAGACCTAGATCTAGATTTAGATCTAGATCTAGATCACTTCTCTAGAGAGAGCTTTGGCCTTGCCTTGTGCAGTGTGTAGTTCACTGATTCACTCAACACACTGACGTCGTGGTTCTCACAACTAGATCTAGGAGGCATGCCAGTTTGTCTCAGGCCCAGTGAGCCAGTGAGTTAGTCACAGGCCCTAAAATCCCTCTAAAATGTCAGTTCAGTTTGTGTTGTTCAATATTTCTTCCTCTTTGTATGTACATGTAATTCAAAGCAAATTTGAATTACACTGTAAATTTACAACAATGAATGTCCTTTCGTTTAAAAAAAAAAAAAGAACAATAAATTCAATTCATAGCCTATGCCTAGACTCTAGTCTCTAGTTTGCCTGTGACAAACTTTGAAACTGGGCAGTCCCCACTAGATCTAGATCTAGAATCTAGTACATACTCCTCCTTCTCACTTCTCACTACAGACTCTACAATCTTTTATTAATTTCGAGACTAGATTTACATCTAGATTCTAGATGTAGATCTAGTTCTAGTCTAGACCTACAGGTACACATGTACAGCAATAGGCGCTCCTGTACAATTTTTTAAAAATTATTTCACTCCTGTTTATTTACATGATGGCTATTATTGGAGTGAATCTAGAGTCTATATCTAGATTTAGAAGTCTAGATCTAGATCTAGATTCTAGATCTAGATTCTAGAGATCTTAAGATTCTTGATAGCCAAGATAATCTATCTCTCTAGATCTATGCTAGATTTAGACATCCTGATTGATTTTCTAGATCTAGAATAGATCTAGATATAGATCTAATTTCAAATCTGTTTAGATCTAGAATCCATATCTAGATTTTAAAGTAAAATTTACTACATGTACAGGGGATGCTTAGATCTAGATATTATCTAGATCCAGGCTTAGATCTAGATCTAGATTCCTTAGATCTACATCTAGATCTAGATATAATATCTAAATCTAGATATTAAGAATCTAGAATCTAGATCTAGAATCTAAATCTAGTGTGATTTAGTGCAAACGGGGCCGTTTATTATTTATCATTCCAGGGTCCTTGATTGGCATCGAGTTTAGACTTAGAAAAATCTAGAAGCTGATGCATGATCTAGATGTAGATATTAGATAAATCTAGACGCTAGTCTGACATGCCGCTTGTCTGGCATGCCGCTAGTCTGGCATGCCGCTAGTCTGACATGCCGCTAGTCTGACATGCCGCTAGTCAAAAATAGAACTGTCAAAAAGAGAACTGAAACTAAAACATGTCCATTGGCATCGTCACTCACGTCTGCTGGGCAATAAATAGATCTAGACTTTAGATTTAGAAATCTATATTAGACCTATATCTAGATCTAGATTCTAGATCTAGATTCTAGATTCTAGATCTAGAATCTAGATCTATATCTAGATCTATAGGCTAAAATGTATGCCAGGGATAGATTCTATCCCCTGCTTAGTTTTAAAAAGCAGTCTATTTCAGACCTAGATCTAGATATATACTGTGTAAGGCCTGTTCAACACACCAGAGATAATGCTGATACTGATAGTGATAATAATCTTCTGTGCCTGTCTGTGCTGTCTGTGACACCCAAAAATAGCCTTGCCGTCACACAGTCACACAGCCGCTCACAGAGCAATATTAGAGCATGAGCCTGGCCATGATCTGACGCGGTGGACGACGATCGTTTTCGGTATTTATCTTTGTCGAGAAAACAACAAATAACAACTGATAACTGCAAATAACAACTGATAACACAAAAACTTTGATTTCAGCCTAAAAAATCAATATTCGTGTGGTCAACCAGACCCGTTCTTTATGTACACAACTCCGAGCAACCACCAGAAGTAGAATATTCTTAATCTTGAGCCATGACCGGAGTTGTGTCCCTTTTTTGGGTTTACAATAAAATCGAAAGTAAAATGGAAAGTAAAATCGAAAGTAGGCTAGCAATTTTTCGGGAAAAAACAACTAAATTAGGACGTTTGTGCTGACATTTGTTGTTATCAGTTGTTATTTGTTGTTATCAGTTGTTATCAGTTGTTATCAGTTGTTATCAGTTGTTATCTGTTGTTATCTGTTGTTATCAGTTGTTATCAGTTGTAGTGCAGGTGCTCTGGTGTGGTTTGCTCCTTTTTAAATCCTATATAAAATCTCTCTCTCTCTCTCTCTATCTCCCCTCCTTCTTTTTTGTGTCTGTTACTCTCTTGTAACACCTCTGATCTTGGGCACTTATATGACCTTATTGTGTTGCAAGAGCCGTAAAACACTTTACTAAAACTAAAACTAAACCATCTCCCCTCAGATGCGGGTAGCAGAGGGCCCGAGGAAGCAGACACAGAGTACCAGCGACTGTGCAAAGGTCTGTCTCTGTGTGTGGCCTACGCCGCCAACACTGGGGGGATCGCCACTCTGACGGGGACCCCGCCCAACCTGGTCTTGTCCGGACAGGCGGACAGGTGAGATAGATAGATAGATAGACAGGTGAGATAGACAGACAGATACGTAGGTGAGACAGGTGAGATTTATATAATAGACAGGTGAGATAGGTGAGATAGATAGACAGACAGGTGAGATAGATAGATAGATAGGTGAGATTGACACACATATGCGCAGGTGAGTCAGGTGAGATAGGTGAAATAGATGAGACAGATAGGTGAGACAGGTGAGATATGTGAGATAGATAGACAGACAGGTGAGATAGATAGACAGACAGGTGAGACAGATAGACTGGTGAAACAGGTAAAATAGATAAACAGATACGTGAGATAGACAGACAGGTGAGACAGATAGACTGGTGAAACAGGTGAAATAGATAAACAGATAGATGAGACAGACAGACAGGTGAGACAGGTGAGATAGATTGACATGCAGGTGAGAAATATAGACAGACAGGTGGGACAGGTGAGACAGGTGAGACAGGTGAGATAGATAGACAGGTGGGGCAGGTGAGACAGGTGAGACAGGTGAGATAGATAGACAGACATGTGAGACAGGTGAGATAGATAGACAGGCAGGTGAGATAGATAGACATGTGAGATAAACAGATAGGTTAGACAGGTGAGAAATATACAGATAGGCAGTGTGGCATGTGAGACAGACATGTAAGTGAGGGAGGTAAACCTGTGAGACAGGTAGGCAAGTGAAACAGGTGTACAAACAGTTGAGACAGGTAGACAGACAAGTGAGACAGGTGAGATAGATAGTTGAGATAGGTGGCCAAAGAAGACAGACGGACCGGTGAGAAAAACAGACAGGGAGGCGGGTGAGATAGATATGAACGTGAGGCATGGAAACAGATAAGACAGGTGAGAAATACAGACAGATAGGTGAGACTGGTAGACCGGTGAGGCAGACAAATGGACAGACAGGAGAGACAGGTGAGACAGGTGAGATAGATATGATAGGTAGAGGCGTAGACAATGAGACAGATGCACAAATAGTTGAGACAAGTAGACAGGTGAGAAAGATAGACGGGTAGACAGTGAGACAGGTGAACAGGTAGACAGACGAAAGAGGTAACAGGGTTTATGAGGTAGACAGTTGAGACAGGTAGACAGGCAAAGAAATAGACAAAAATAAGGTTAAAGCCAACAGAAGGGGACATTGTCAATAGGCAGAAACACTTGACAGGAAGGCAAATATGCAGACAGATAGACAGGCGGACAAGCAGCCAGACAGAGCTGGGGGAAGGGATAGAGAGAAAAAAAGGAAGAAGAGGAGAGAAAGAAGGTGGACCAGGGCGAGACAATTGTGATAGTTATGATAGGAAGAAGAAGAAGAAGAAAAAGAAGAAGAAGAAGAAGAAGAAGAAGAAGAAGAAGAAGAAGAAGAAGAAGAAAAACAAGAACAAGAATTAAGAGAAGCTCTATTGTCGCCGATTCCAATTATTGTGTCGAAGCTTCTCGAAGAAGGATTATAATTGATTAAGGGTGAGATTATACGGTCTGAGACAGGGACTGAAATAGCTGATAGGTTATATAAGGTAACAATAATATGTGAAGCATGCTGACAAAATGAGTTACTTCTCAGATTCGAGCTCTATGGAAATAGGTACATCACACTTATAGGTGAAGTTTTTACAATTTATAAGTATGAAACAATAATAAGCATGTTATACTTGTAAAATATGGCATCAATAGAAAATCTACTAATTTGACCCTTGTGTCGATTTTTGGCCAATATCTCCATTTGTGGAATGCGAAAAGTAACTCATTTGGTCAGCACGCCTCACATATAATATATTAAACTAGCTGGGCCTCTTTTCGATGAAAGGAATGGTCGGTGCATTAACATCAACTCAAAGTCATTGGCCCACTATATTTACACTCTACTGGAATGGAGCAATAAATTTTGAGACATGCAAAAAATTAGAAGGTCTAGATATAGATCTATACTGTCAAAACAAAATGCGCCTCGCAAAATATCATTTCCGCACCGGATTTTCTAAAATTACAGAGACAGAAGCGTCTGCCTACGAAAGCGATCGGCGAAATAAAGAAATTTAGCTTTTTGTCGCAAAACTGTCTCAAACCTGAAAAAACGAAGGGCGTCATGAACTGGAGAATATTTTAAAGAATCTTTTGGTGAAAACCGCATGTCGATCGATGCAGCCATTAAAACGCCTTTTGAATAGCAAAATTCGGTGACCACAAATAGATAATAGTAATAGATAACTGTATGAGTGTGGCATCGTGTTGAAATAATATGTCGCTCGTCAAAATATTGTAACAAAAACCCCGACATTTTCCCCACCTGCCAGACGACAGCAATTTTAATGGCTTTTTTTAGAAGTGTGTATGTATGTGTGTGTGTGGGGGGGGGGGGGGGGGGGGGGGGGGGGCTCTCTACACTTTTTGTGTCCCTTAAAATGCACATTTCTGTGTAAATTTACTGAAAACAATCCCCATAACAACCAACGTTGATCAAAGACACAGGAAATGTCAGTTTGGGTTCCTGTCCAAGGCCACCTCATTCAATCGCGAATGTTTCGACTTCTACTCCTAATAGATGGGTACTTTTTCATCAAAAGCTCCTAAATAAATAACCAAGCTTTAATGAAGGGAACTCGCTACCGATTCCATCAAAATAATTCCGACATTGAGGTGAAAATATCGATGTTTTGTTTTATTGCTTAAACGTTTTAACCTCTAAAGAAAACCAAAAACTCATTTGTGTGGTGTGTTGACAAAATGAGTCACTTCTCGCAGCCCACAGAAGGAGATATTGGCACAAAATCAACACCGAGGTCAAATTAGTAGTTCTTCTATTGATGCTCTACTTTTATGTAGAACATGCCTCTTATTATTTCATACTTATAAATTGTAAAACTTCGCTTATAAGCATGATGTTTCTACTTCCATAAGGCTTGAATCCGAGAAGTCACTCATTTTGTCAGCAAACTTCACATTTAGAAACATGAACTCGGTCTAAAAGTGGGAGAAAATGTCTTTTTTTTTTTTAAATCACGGATCAATGATTATCGTGTGTACTATTGGGACATTTTTGAAGCCCTTTTTATTTTTCATTTTTCAGGTACTGTAGCCTCTTATAACCCTAAAATCTCTAAATTAATGTTGTTGGACTTGATGATTGAAACTAGGCATGGCTCTTGTTCACTAATATCAAAAGAAACTCATAGTGCAACAAAAATAATTGCTTTCTCCGATTTTGTGACATGTTCCTTTACAGAGATGTTCAATTGGTCGCTTTTAAGGACAAGCGGGCTAACCCAGATTTCGGGGGTTTCCAGAAATCTTGACCTACACCAAAAGTGGGCACTGCCCTACCTTATAGAAGAAGTTTGGGGTTCTTTTTGTTTTGTTTTTGTAAAGTGTTTTACGGCGCTCGCAACTGCATAGGTCATATGAGCGCGCGGGACACACCTAATATTTTAAGTTGGTAGGAAATTTTGAAATGTGCCCGGGTGGCGGCCGAAGCCTACTCTTATCGATTTTAGACGACCAAGGGATCTTTAACGTGCGCAATTTGCACACGGGCCCTCCGAGATTTTTCGCCCTTGTCCGAGAAGGCTAGGTGTAGATCTTTCCAACCAGAAGATCAGGGGTGTGGCAGAAAGACAGCAGTAAGGAGGAGCCAAGGAGTAGCAGTAGAAAGGCTGCAGAAAGAATCAGGAGCCCAGAGGAGGGGGCAAAGGAGGTGAGGGGGTGGGGGCAGAAAGTGGAATTGAAAGCAGACAACAGAACATTGCTAGAGAGCAGGAAAGGAGGTGAAAGGAGACAATTTTAGAGAAGAAAATTTTTCGGTCGCTGCCCGGATTCGAACCCGGGATCTTTGAATGAGAGGCCAACACCTTAACCTCTAGGCCACGAGAGCCCCCAAATTTGGTTTCATTGGTGTGTATATTTGTTTGGTTGTAGAGAAAACTCTCCTTGTATTTTAATGGAACTGAACAAAGGTCCAAAAGATTTACCTTCGATTTTCTCAAAAAAGCATTTTTCGGGATGGCCCCCTTGTTCTTAACAGCGACCAATTAGTCATCTGTATTGCGTAACTTGTGAGGCAGGAGAGCCGGAGGAAGGAAAGAATAACGTGGATGGACAACGTAAGAACATGGACTGGCGGGGTAATAGGATGGCAAAATGAGCATCGGCAGCTCAAGACCGTGAAGGATGGAGGGTCATTCCACGTCAACCTCTGAGTCAGAGATGACACCTCCAGACAGACTGCGTGACTGACTAACATTACATTTCAAAATCCTCTCCCTTTTAAAAAAATCTAAACTGTACAGATAAAAAAGGTGTAGTCACGATTTCAAGAAAAGGCATACCTTTTGACAGTAAAACAGAATAACATAAATTATCCAAACTACTTTTGGAGATTTTAAGATTATAAATTATATTTTTTTAAATCCAAGATGGCAATCGTTGCCATTGCATAGAAACTTGGGCAATATTTTTCCCCTGAATAGTTTTCATAACTTTACTCCATGTAATGAACCATGATGGGCAAAACTTCAAAAAATTAATATTAAAAAAAGCAAAAAAACTGAAAAAATCAGTAGTGATTTTTTAAAGTTTTAGTATGAGTTTATCGGCACTTGCAACCCAATAAGGTCATATAAGTGCCAAAATTAGAGGCTTTACACGATAGTAACAAACAAAAAAAGAAGTAGGAGAGATCAGGACGTTGGATGTTCGATAGAAAAGAAGGAGCATGCCACACTAGAGCACCCCAATTCGTCACTTATGTTTATGACATTATTGTATTACAAGTGCCGAATAACTCTATTTCTAAAACTAAACCAGAACACCTACCAACCACCCGCCAATCAGTAGCGAGTTCCCTTATTAAGGTTAAACCAATAACTCTATAATATTATGCTCCCAAATCGACGAGCGCCTGATTTCACCTCGTCATGACACATATTATTAATATGTGAGGCAGCGTGGTGTAATCAGGCTCTCGTCAAAATAGTCAAAGTCAAGAAACTGGCGATTTGCAACAGGTTTGGGAATTTATATCGAATCTTTGTTGTTCTTTTTTTTTATCAACACGTTTCATACCCATTAACGAACACATTTCTGTGTGGATTGTTCTTAAAAAAACCGTTGATTACAGGCACACAAAAAAGTAGATTTTCAGTTACCACGGACTCTTAAGCTAAGGAAAAAACTATTCTTTGGCTGTTATTTTCTCACTAATTTTACCCCTGAAACCAGGCGACCCCCCACCTCCTTCAACTACCAATATCTAGACTTGTATCTAGGAGATAAATTTATACTTTTTAAATCAAAAGTAAGGCCATGGACAGGCTTTAAGATGATACCAATAACTC